TAAAAGTATAATGGCTTAAAGATAAATTATTTTCAGTATTTAAGTTATTCAAAAGAGCTAATTGACTTTTTGAAGCAGCTGACTTTAACTACCTTGATTTCAGGTGGAAAAAAATAATTTCCATCCTTACTTCCATTCAGGCCTCATGATTCAACATATTTAAGTTACCAATAAATGAAACCTGGCTTTCCAGGTCCAAGAACTTGAGTCCTGTAGGTGTGATTTGTACTAACCAGGTGGCTCTAAGCCATACAACTTGAAGTTTCCAATTTTCTGAATCACATAACCCAATACTTTGTCAGTATAAAGTGAGAACATTGTGCACATCTTTTCTTTGCATCTCTTCAAATCCCACCAGATAAATATCAACTCCTCAGGCAGAGAACAAACTCTTTGAGGACATACCTTCATTGCAGGCATTTTCTCAACCCTGAGTCCCTCCTCTCTCTCAGCACTGATAAAAGCACAGCAGAACCACTCATTACCCAGTCAAGTTATGCCAGCAGGATGGAGCCAGAGCACAGACCAAGTGAAGGTAATAGAAAAAAGCCAGAATATACCAATCTCCATGCTCAAGAAGTTCATAATACAGGCAACTATACTAGACATTTAAATTAGATTGTCAATAACTATTAAATGAGCAAAAGAGTCTCTATTTTCCTTCTTTCATAGCTTCATATGCCACAAGAACAGAAAAATGCCACTATATGACTATTTCGTGAGCTAAAGTATATAAGGGACTCACCGCTAAAATGTTTCCTGATTGTTTTAATAGAGATAGCTCAAGATCAAAGATTATACACACACACACACACACACATATAAAGGAGCTCTGATGGTGTAGTGGATAAGGCACTTGACTGTTAATCAGTAGGTCAACGGTTTAAACCCACCAGCCGCTCCGCAGAAGGAAGACAGGGTGACCTACTTCCGTAAAGATTTACAGCCTCAGAAACCCAATGGGGGTGGCTATGAGTTGGAAATAACTCAATAGCAGTGAGTTTGGTTTTTGATTTTATATATTTATTTATTTATCTATTTATTTATTTATATATACACACACATATATATATGTGTGTGTATATGTGTGTGTATATATACACATATATGTATGTATATATATACACATATATATACATACATACACATATGTGGATGTGTGTGTGTGTATATATATATAAATATATATATATACACACATACATACATACAGGAGCTCAGGTGCCGTAGTGCCTAAGGACTTTAACTGCTAACCAGAAGGTTGGTGGTTCAAAGCCACCAGCCACTCCTCAGAAGGCAGGCTGGGCAATCTACTTCTGTAGAGATACTGTCTCAGAAACCCAAGGAGGGGTTGCTGTGAGTCGATTCCGACTTGATGGCAGTGGATGGGTTTTTATATATATAATATATATACATACACATACACACACACACACACAGAGTCACTCAACTCACTGCCGTTGAGTCAGTTTCTACTCATAGTGACCCTTGGGTTTCCAAGGCAGTATCACTATGCAAGTAGATTGCCCAGTCTTCCTTCCAAGGAGAAGCTAGTGGGTTTGAACCACCAGCATTCTGGTTAGCAGCCAAATGCCTTAGGCACTATGCTACCAGAGTTTATATACATATGTATGTGTGTGTGTGTGTGTGTATATGTATGTATCTATGTATCTATGTATCTATATATCTATATATACACACACACACACATATACATATATATACACACACATACGTGTGTGTGTGTGTATATGAAGGATGGCACCTGATTTAAGAAAAACCCATTTTAATTTTAGAGAAGGATTGAAACCTAAAATAGGATGAATCCTTATCACAGCTCTTGTACGGTAGACAACTTAATAATTGAAGTACCTTCCAGATGAAAGGGAAATCAATTTCAAAATTCTATCATCTCTTTTTAAACTTGTTCAAACATTGAAGCATTCAAATGTCAGCATGCTTTAAAATTAGAAAGTAAAGGAAAATTCCTAGAGTTCCTAGGAGAACATTCCTAGCTGTATGGTAAAATTTTTCAACTTTCTGATATATCACGTTAATAGATTATCACTTAAAATTAATGCAACATGAAAGACATCTTTTTGGTGTCACCAACTATCACTTTTCCTTCTAAACAGATAACGTGACTTATCCTGCCATAGACAAGTCTCCCGCTGCACTCACTGTAAAAAATACACTACTTCTGATGGTGATGACTACCCCCAAGACAATGATTCTTTTTATTCAAGGAAATCAGTACAGTAAATAACTTTTCTTCCCTTCGAGACAGTCACAATGCTTGAGGCGGCTGCGACACAAAAACAAAATAACTTCACAAATGTCTCCAAACAGTCAAGCTGAAAATCTAAGCCAAAGTTTCATTTAACAGCCTGTCAGGTTTTTGATGGAAAGCTAATGAATGCAGTGGCAAACAAATCCATCAAACCTAACATCAAAACAACTGCACTTCCTCCCACCAAACGGAAAAATGAAATACGACCTGCAGGCCAGCTCTTTGATCCAACCAAGCCAGGACACCACCTTTCAAGCACCACTGTGCATCTTCACGTAAGTAATCATGGACTCCATTTCATCACAGAAAGAGAATGCCCCAGAAACTGAAGACATTTGTGAAACATACACATCATCTTATTTCAATTGCTAAGCTATCTGTTACATATTTTTGAATGGCTACAAGAAAAAAAAGCACAAAGCATTACATTCTAGATTATTCTGATGTTCAAAGCTATAAAAAAACGGCTAAAATAAATAGCTGGGTGGTTGGGCAATCTACTTCCATAGTGATACTGCCTCAGCAACCCAAGGAGGGGTCACTATCAGTCGGGCCTGACTCGACGGCACATAACAACAACAACATGTTTCAATAATGCTACAGTTTTCCAAGGGAAGGTTTATTTAAAGGACTTGCATTTTTTATGAAAGCTCCATGAGGACAAAGAAGCCTCATCTTTCTTCATTATACAAACACTTGAGCACAATGCCAATTTCAGAAGGGAACTCCCTGAGCCCTCACCAAACCACAGCTCCGCCCAGGTCAGCATGCACATGAGCACGTGACCACTTAGAGCATTAGTCTCATTTTCTTCACAGTGAAAACTTTACCTGAGTCATCAAAACCCAAAAGGACCAAACTGTTGTTATCGAGTGGATTTCAACTCATGGTAACCCCATATGTGGAAGCACAGCCCCAAAGCACGTAGTTCTGTACCTAGGGCATCTCAGCCTTGGGAAGAAGTCACTCAGGACAATACCATAAACTCACGCTGAAACTTGTAGTAAACAGGTAACAAGTAATTTTTCTATGTGATAGCCAAAGTATTGATTAAAGATATAAACCATTAAATGACCTATCTTGTTACAACCTCGTAGACATTACACTATTTCAGTGAAGATGCAAGTATTTTATATTTGTGCCAAAGCACTGTAGGAGCAAGGGGTATAGGCTGGGTTTTATATTTGCTATTAAGTTTATCCTCATATGTAGGATGTGCTCTCAGAAGGAATGGTGTAGGTCTCTTCCTTTCTAAATTACCCCTGAAAAATAGAAATTATTTCTATTTATTCCTCACTAATAGAAATTACTCAGGACAGAAAATTCTTCTAAAAGCAGGAGCTTTCTTTAATTTCAAGAATGCATTCAAATGCTTTCTGGGCTGCATTTTATGCAATTTTCTAAATACACATGTACATTACACTTAGCGTTGTCTTCTATGAAAATACTTCTATCCAAGCTCACCCAGTGGTTTCCCCATACAAGCATGCAAGTTTTATCAATGTACAATGAATAACACTCAGGTGTACCACACCATGTTCAAGTTAGGGTCACATATACTTTATGTATCATTTCCTGCTAAAACTGCATCAATTTTACATATTCTGCAAAACCTATTTTTCATTCAGAAGCTGCCCTGTCTGCCCACACCTACGCCTGAAGAGCCACAGGAAAGGAAACAGACCTTACAGAAGCCACTGTCACTCAGAAGAAGCTTTCTATTTAATGCTGCAGGGGGATGTAATTAAATTTAATAGAAGTTGCTGCTTGTAACTGAAAATACACAATATGTGAACTAAATTAAACAGACTGGGCAGGAGATGCAAAATTTTATACCAAATTTAATATGAAAATATGTATCTTGCTAAGATGTGTTTCACATTACTACTTACAAGAAATTCATGCCTAGACTATGGCTCTTAGGCACCCTTCAAGCCTGGAACTGAACTCACCTCCATGGCTCAACTTTCAGCCAAATGACAGGCAGGTCTATAAGGTGAACAGTAAAACCAAGGAGGTACACACTCCTTAGAATAATCAACCAAATGAGATTTGCCCAAGGATAGAGCTCACAAGGCCGAAAGGGATAGAAAGAAGGATGACAGGAAACGGCAAACACAAAAAGGAAGTGGGAAGAGTGGTGTTATATTGTGAGGACTAAAATCAATGTCACAAAATGAGTACGAATTGTTGCATGGAAAACCAATTTGCCCTGTAAACTTTCACCCAAATCACAATAATAAACAAAGTCCTGAACTAAAAGTATTTTAATCATTTCTTCTTACTATCTTCCCTCTCTTATTGATAGAATTTTATTAGCCACTTCTCTCTGTAAATAACCATTTTCTGAGCTATGAACTGAACTTTAATAGGGAGACTCCAAGATGTCTATCCAATACAAAGCTGCATGGAGCCACTGGAAATCCTTATTTAAAAAAAAAAAAAAAAAAAACTGGTGGCCTTAATAGAGAAAGCAAACCTAAAATTACCTCTCAGGGCAAATTATTCCACATGAATCTCAAAACAGGAAAACACTGCTACAAATGCAACAAAGTCCATGTACAATAAATACACCTAGTACAAAACAAATTACTGTGGTAAGAGACACAGAGTGCCTATGCAGGAAAATACCTGCCCACAACGCCTTAAGCGTCTCACAATAACTGGGATATATACTTACCTTATGTTTTATTTTTGAGGCATAACTTACCAATTTAGCAACTTTTCCATAGTCAATCCATCTGACAGTGGCAAAATTAGTGGATTCTGCACAGTTGAAGCCATGATTAAAACCAGCATGGTAGCCATATGGGAAAGTGATCATAAATTCTCCAGCCTCTTGGGTGATCTGCAGAGTAGAAAACAGTTAATGTTTTCCACTTAAAAGACTTTCCCAATTGTGAACACAATTAAAAGCATATTCTATAAAATATAAAGAAATAAAAGTTCATGATATCAGAGCTATATCAATATAAAGACACTTCCCCAGATCTCTTTCACTTTGTCCTTGAACAGTTATTTTCAGGAAACCTTAAAAAAAAAAAAAAAACACCTTTCTAAACAAAGTGGAGTACTGGCAATTTATTTACTCAATCTATAAAGATAGTATGCTGTCATTGTTAGGTGCAATCAGGTGTGTTCTGACTTACAGAGACCCCATGCACAACAGAACAAAACACTATCCTTACAGTTTTAAGTGTGCGTGTGCCCATTATGGAAGGCACCATATCAGTCCATCTCTGGATTCACTGTGTCAAAGGGACTTCCTCTTTCTTGCTGATCTACTTTACCAAGCATGATGTCCTTCTCCAGGGACTGGTCCCTCATGACAGTATGTCCAAAGTATATAAGTATATAAGTATATTGCCATCATCAATTCCAAGGAGCACACTGGCTGTACTTCTTCCAAGACATACTTGCTTATTCTTCTGACCAAACCAAACCCACTGCCATTGAGTTGATTCAACTCATAGTGACCCTATAGGGCAGAACAGAACTGCTCCATAGGGTTTCCAAGGCTATAAAGTTTTACCAAAGCAGACTGCCTTGTCTTTCTCCGATAGAGTGGCTGGTGGTACAAATTGCCAACATTTTGGTTAGCAGCTGAATGTTTTAGACACTGTATCACCAGAGCTCCTTGGTCTTCTACCAATCCATGGTATACTCAATATTCTTCACCAACAACATAATTCAAATGCATCAATTCTTCTTTGGTCTTCCTTTTTGTTTTGGTTAGCTAGTGCAATTCTGACAGGAATATACCACAAACAGGATGCTTGAACAAACAGGAATTTATTCTCTTACAGTTTGGAGGCTTTAAGTCCAAGTTCAAAGTGCCAGGCTCTAGGGACTGGGTAAAGCCCCTCAACCTTAGGCTTCAGCTGTGCCTCCAGCTCCCAGTCCACTGGAAATAGAGGTTTTTCTTCACTCAGACAGCTGCTGGCAGCTAAAGCTGACAAACCCAAGGTTGACAAGTAAAAAGGCACAGTTCCCAATGTTACCAAGCCACACAGAAGGCCATTAACTCAAGTCCACTGAAAGTCCGAAGGTTGGCACAGCATGGCAGGCTGCTGAACAACGACAGTTACATGCAGAGTTCATTGTTGTTGTTATGTGCCGTCGAGTCAGACCTGACTCATAGCAACCCTCCTTGGGTTTCCAAGGCAGTATCACTACGGAAAGAGATTGCCCAACCTTCCTTCTGAGGAGTGGCTGGTGGGTTTGAACCACCAGCCTTCTGGTTAGCAATCAAGTGCCTTATGCAGGGTTCAAGCATGCCATAAGCTAGAGACCATTCCCAAAGCTGTTTCTTATATATGGGAAACAGACAACATACCCAAAGCAGCTACTCATCTGCTCCAATAGATTCCATCTTGGAGTTAATTACCAATCTCACCATGGGGAATAACTACATGCAGCTGCCCAGCCACTCAACCAGGCCCAGCCAAGTTGACACACGAACTTAACCATCACACTTATTCATTGTCCACCTTCTGCATGCAAATGAGGTCACTGAAAAATCCATGCTTCGGTCAGGTGCATCTTAGCCCTCAAAGTGACATCTTTGCTTTTTAACATTTTAAAAACTAAAGTGCAATAAAATAAATGCAGAAGCAAAGATGAGTTAACCAAGCGAAGCGCTGTTCTAAACTCTAAATTCTTTTCAGATCCGCAGTTTCATCATCCAATTACCTCAGATTCATTTAACATCTATGCAGGCACCCAAAAGAAAAATTGGATTGAAACTACTGCTAACAGTAATTAGCAAGAGATCTTTTCCTACCTGCAAAGGATAATTTTAAATTAATCAACAATAATTTATTAGGACCCTACCAAAAGATGTTTGGTAGTACACAACTACCTTTAAGACATAACTTGCAGCAGGAACAATCATTCCAAACATAGTTTAACCACATGCTCATCAGATTCTCCCTCCAGCCAATGCACCTTTCTGGTAATTCCCCTGTCCTAACAACCCAAAACATCTGTTCTTCTGTTTTGTTTTCTAATTCCAAGTCTTTGCACATTTCATTATAATATTTTACTTCGTCTTCTGCAGCTACCATTTGAAATCTTCTTATCAGCTATTTCTTTTTTTCACTTTTTACATTCAAGAGCAAGTTTCTGACATCCATTTTGGTCTTTTCTTTCTTTCCTATCTTTTCAATGACCTTTTGCTTTCTTCATGAATGATGTACTTGATGTCATCCCACAACTCCTCTGGTCTTCAGTCATTAGTGTTCAATGCATCAAATCTATTCTTGAGATGGTCTCTAAATTCAGGTAGGATATATTCAAGATTATACTTTTGCTCTCATGGTCTTGTTCAAATTTTCTTCAGCTTCAACTTGAACTTGCATATGAGCAACTGATGGTCTGTTCCACAGTTGGCCCATGGTGGATATTGAGCTTCTGCATCATCACCTTCCACAGATGTAGCCTGCTTGATTCCTGTGTATTCCATCTGGTGAGGTCCACATGTAGAGTCAGTGTTTATGTTGTTGAAAAAAGGTATTTGCAATGAATAAGTCATTGGTCATGCAAAATTCTATCATATACTTTCTGGCATCATCTCTATCACCAAGACCACATTTTCTAACTACCAATCCTTCTTTCTTTCCAGCTCTCACATTCCAATCACCAGTAATTATCAATGCATCCTGATCACATGTTTGGTCAATTTCAGATGGCAGAAGTTAGTGAAAAATCTTTAATTTCTTCATCTTTGGCCTTAGTGATATATAAATTTGAATAACAGTTGTATTAATTGGGTCTTCCTTGTAGGAATATGGATATTATTCTATCACTGACAGCATTGTACTTCAGGACAGATCTTGAAATGTTCTTACTGACAGTGAATGTGACACTGTTCATTTTCAATGTGTCACTGCTGACATAGTAGACCACATGACTGTCTGATTCAATGTGGCCAGTACCAGTGCATTTCAGCTCACTAATGCCTAGGATATCAATTTAGGTACTCCATTTCAATTTTGACAACTTCCAATTTTCCTTGATCCATACTTTGTACATTCTACATTTCAATTATTAATGGGTGTTTACAGCTGTTTCTTCCATTTTGAGCCATGCTACATCAGCAAACGAAGGTCCTAAAAACTTCACTCCATCCATATCATTACAATGATCTCTAGTTTGAGGAGGCAACTCTTCCCCAGTCATATTTTTAATGTCTTCCAACCTGAGTGGCTCATCTCCTGGCACTGTATCAGACAATGTTCTTTTGCTATTCATAAGATTTTCACTGGCGTTTTCTTCAAAAGTAGATCATTAAGTCATCCTTCCTGTCTTAGTCTGGAAGCTCCACTGAAACCTGTCCATCATGGGTGACCCTGCTGGTATTTGACATACTGCTGGCATAGCTTCCAGCATCACAGCAATATACAAACCACCACACCACAAAACATTTTACAGATGAGTGGTGGAATATTTATTTGAAAATGTCTTTGCTCTAAGTTACTGAAGTAAATTTGTTTATATTAGCTATTGTGACAGTTTGATCTGTGTGTCAACTTGGCTGGACCACAATTCTGTGTAATTTAAGCAGTTGTGACATGGGTTGTTCCAATGATGGGATCAGATGTATATGTTTTGAGTAGCTAATCCATTAAAAGGGAGTTTTCCTAGGGGTGTGGCCTGCTTCCAGTATATTTATGGACATCCTGGGAAAATAGACACTCGTCTGTGGATCAGGATTCTGTTGTGCTGCCTACAACTGTCTGTGAGCAAACAATCCAACATTCAGCCTGGAGATCTCGGATTCATCATTCGTTGGAGTCAACAGCCAATGTACTGCCTGCCAATCTTGAGCTCCTCAGCCCCTGCAGCTGCATGAGTCAGGAAAAGCCTCTAGCTTTAAGTTTGATCTAAGAGCTTGGGACTTGCCAGCTTCTGTAAGTGTGTGAGCCATTTTCCTATGATAAATTTCTCCTTCTCCCTATATATAAGCTTTACTGGTTTCATTTCTCTAGAGAACCCAGTCTAACACAGCTATCAATATATATATTTTAATACTTTACTGGCTTTATTTTTATTTACTCATTTATTAACATTAATCCTTTATTAACAAAGCTATATAAAAAGACATAATAACCGACCATTTGATTTTGAAGTTAGAGCTACAAAAACTTTGATAATGCATGCTGGACAGGCTATACAGGTAGCCTGAATACAACTTATGATGTATTCAAATTACAATGTACTGTATTTATGACCGCCTGGGTGTCTGTGCGCACATGCACATCTTACCATTAGTAATATGTACTACATACAATGTTGCTGTGGGTAATTTGCTGATGTTATCATCAGATGTTTACTCGCAGATGTTCAATGTTATGATTTACAAAGATACAACCAATAAAAGGCAATAGTAATGAAAATTCTTTAAAACCTGAGGTATGTAACTTACATCAGAAGCAACTTATGATGGTATCGTCAGAATGAAACACCATAAGTCAGGGACTACCTCTATTATGAATTCTGATCTACTTGATTAAGTCATTAATCATTAAGTCAGGAACTACCTCTATTATGAATTCTGATCTACTTGACATGAAATCGTCAGGTTTATCAGTCACTCATTCAAAATGACCTAATAAAATCTTTATTTTCCATAGTCTGACCTTAAACTTTTCTAACCCAGCACCCAACAGAGCGCCTTTTGCCTCTCTTACTGCTTTGAGTACAAAGTGACATTTAAAAAAAAAAAAATACTCATTAGCTTTGGGCACTGTAGCAAAATGTATCCTTGGTAAATATTTCTATTTAGTAAACGCTATCTGTTCACACTGAGAGCCTATACCCTTTCCTAGTTCTGACAATAAAGTAAAATTTTAAAACCACTTTTAATTGTCCTAGAGATTAAAAAAAAAGTATTTGTATTTTCTTTGAGATTTAATTTGTATACAGTAAAATTTTCAAATCATGATGTGCTATTTGCTGAATTCTGCCAAATGGATATACCCCTATCTGCACATCCCTATCATGATACAAAACACATCCATCACCTAGAAAGCTTCCTAGTACCCCTCTCAACCAATCCCCAGCCTGACCCCAACTCCCATCCCAGTAACAACCATTGTCCTGGTTCCTTTAACAAATAGTTAGCTTTGCCTGTTCAAGAATTTTATATAAATAAAACCATACAATATGGCTACACTCAGCACGCTCTCGAGATTCATCCATGCCATTTTGTGTAATCAGTAGTTCATCTCTTTTTATTGTGGAGTATTATTCCATCATTCAAATATCACATGTTTTGTTTATCCATTCGCCTCTCGGTGAACACTTGAGCTGTCGAGTATTTGCTTTTCAGGATTAAAAATATGCCTGAGCTCAATAAACCTCTGAAACATGATCAATGATTAAAAATTCCTCTAAAATCTAATAGAAATGTAGTTTTCAGAAGAAATTTTAAAAAAGAAAAGAGAATTAGAATAAAACATTCCCCATGAAATGTTATCTAACCCAGGAATTAGAGCTGATCTCTCCCTCTGCTAATCCACCATAGTTTTGGATTTGAATATTTCTTACGGAGAAATATAAATTTCTTACATCACCACAATCTGTATTCTTTGCTTCTCTATCATTTTTTATCCTCTGCCAGTCCCTCTAATTGTAAGTGATTTGATATTAAAGACTATATTTTGTTCATCATAAACTTTCCTGCCATAGTATATATCCATATATTTTTGTTGGCCCGAATATAAATGATCTTAATGATGCAGGAATACTTAAAATAGTCTCCCATCACTTCAGACTTAAAACATCTGAAGATCAGGCATCCCATCCCTGCACACCAGTTATGGGGCAACAAAAAAAATGTAAAGGGACAATATAAACAAATACCCAGCTTGGAGGACTCTCAGAAACAGACTAGATTTTAGTTCTCTTCATTTTGTTTAAGAACAGCTGAGGAAAAGGAGTGAGAATTTATCATAATATTTTAAAAAAAAAAAAAAAACTCCAGACTATTCCTCTCTTATGTCAGGAAATTTTCTTTATACCAAATCTAAATTATATCCAATGTAAGGAAGGTCTTGTCTGAAGTACTGAAGCGGAATAAAGGATTACCTGGTTCATTTCAGCCCTAAGAGGTTGAGAAATGAATGTGTGAATGTATGAGTGTGTATGTGTAAACATACAGGAGAAACACTGTATAAATACAGGTGCACATGCTGCCAACCAGTGCCATTTTTAGTAATGCTAAAATGGCACATGAGAGTACTTTCCTTCCTGACACTTTGAAGTCTAGCTCACCTTCTCCCTCACTAGTGACACCCAGCATGTGCTCTCCACCAATGAGTACAGCTCAGCTGTGAGCAGGTGGCCAGCAGGGGCCCTTCAATGCTCAGCACTATCCCAATTCCATCACTCTGAGCCACACAAAGACAGTCTGGTTCTCCTCCTTCTCGGTACACCCCAATAATTTTAACTGTGCTTGGATACTTGGCATTTCTTCCTTGCACTAAATGATAGAACAAAATTCACCTGCTTCTGTTCCTAGCACCAAAATGAGGGTGGGGAGAGGGGACTGCTGCCTCTGGGACCAGGAAGCCTCTATTCTTGCTCTACTGATTTCCATCTACAATCCTTCCCTAGAATGTTCCCATCACAAGACAGGTGTGTCTTCTGCATGGCTCCCACACAGACAGTTTGGAGGAGAACCTATAAGCCTAGGGAGCAGGGACCACATCAGGCACGAGGCCTTTTTCTAAGGAACTTAGAAAAATTCTACTTTGAACAAAGCCTCAAGAAAAAAGGAAAAACAAAGTACCACTTTAAGGACCTAAGATTAATAAGAGGTAAAGATTTATTCACAAGTGAATAGCTTCTAAGGTGGAAAACAGAAAGATTATGGGAAGAAAAGTCAAATAAAAGATGGAAAGGAAAGTGGAGCTATTTTTTTTAATGTTTCTGCAAGTAGCTAAATACTTAATCCTTTTCCAACTGACAGAGGGCTTTCATTTGTCTGGTCAAAGCCTTTTTCACTTCAGCTTTTTCACATAAAAATGTTCATTCTCAGTAATAATTCTGATTCCATAATCATCCATGGACACAAAAAGGGTTCCAGTATGTACTGAGTTTTGTACAACTTAGTCTTCAGAAATACTCCAAAGAAGCAATATCTGATCATTAAATCACCAGGGAATTTTATCCATAATGGAATCTCAATTGTAGTATATGTAATAAATGTGTTGTTATGAGATAACACAGTGGTGTCATAATCACTGATTCTAACCAGCCCAACTGCTAATAATAATTACTCTGAATTTGTTTTAAAGATAGATCACATACACATATATCATGTTGTTTGTAAAAAGGAAAAAAAAAAAAAAAGACTCCATCTTTAATGTAGAAGTACTACATATTCAGTGTTTTTATAAGTGAACAGCATGAAATCTCCAGCAAATGTATCCAGAAATAAAGTTAATTTCAAATTAACATTTCTATAAATAATTGATGTTATAAAATATTAATTGTTCTGCCCATTCTCTAAAATTCTTAACTGAAGCCAAAGACACATTAGCCAATGTTAAATTCACTGTAAATACAAATCACACACACACTCACACTGAATTTGTTAAAGAGCAATGGTAATATACCTTGTCAAAGGGGATGCCATACTTCCTGAGCACTGAAGGAGAGATCAGCGTCATCTTGTGGCGCAGAAATGCTTCACATCCTTGCGAGCTGCTTGGGAAAAAACCTAAACAGAACAATAAATACAAGCAGCACTGTCTCAATCAAGATGAAATTTGAGATGATTATTTTTAATTCTAGTGTTCTTATAGAATGACAAATTTATACAATATAGACCCACATCACCAACAAACCAAAATAATAAACTCTGGCACTAAATTAGAATCTGAATTCTTCAAACTTAAAGCATGCATATTTACATCACCAAAGGTTGACCTTCTTTACAAAAAGATATTGCACAAGATGAGCAAAAAAGGAAAGACCCTCAATAAGATGAACTGACAGTAGCTGCAACGATGGGCTCAAGCATAGAAAGGATTGTGAGGATGGTATAGGACCGGGCAGTGCTTCACTCTGTTGTACACAGAGTTGCTATGAGGCGGAGCTGACTCGATGGCACCTAACAAGAAGCACTTTCCACAAAACCAAGTAAGTGAGAGCTGCTTCCCACTTGACAGTATCTAACAACAGCAACATCTGCTGGGTGAAAGAAGGATGAGATGTCTACTTCCATAAAGACTACAACCTTGGAAACCCTATGAGGCAGTTCTACTTTGTCCCATAGGGTCAACTCGATGACAGTGAGTCAGATTCTGTTTTTTATTATCTGCAAAATGGACAAAATTTACTAAGGGAGGTTAGAGAGGTAAGGGTGTATTAACAGAAGAATTCCTCATTTTAGGCTCCATGCAGGCATCATCCCAGAAGCATTTATGCCAATGCCAGACACACAGAAGACAAGAAGTTCCCCACTTTTTTTCTGTTTCTTTCTGATCAATTTAGATCTAATGGCTACTAAGTTCCAGAATCCACTTCCTGGCCAGCATCAGTCAAATGCTTAGAAACCAGGAGGTGTGACAGTGTGGGAACAAAGCAGATGGCAACCCTTTCACTCAATAGAACATCATGCACCCAAACCAGAGCTGTCTTCCTCCCTCACTGACTTCAGTCCTGCAGACTAGTCTGTCTGGGGCAGACTCCCATTGACTCACAGATACAAGCTAAAGGGAAATGAATAAACTTACCGCCTGCTCTTCACCTTCCTCATTCACATGGTGAAGAGAGTGGAAAAGCAAGAGGAGAAAGAAGAGAAGGAGGAAACAAACAGAGGAGATACACAGGGAGAACATGGAAAGAAAACAGAAGGCACCAGGAAGTCTGTGGAGCACATGGAGAAGCACATGCTGTCCAACTCGTCCACTGCCAAATGAAGACAGTGCCACTAGAAACATCACTCATCTACCTTGCTGGCCCCCAGCACCCGTAACTCAGGAGTCTGACCGATTTGATGAAAGAATTTTGACCTGGTAGAATGGAAGCATGTCACTGGGATATTTTTTAAGTAAATAAGCCTTTATTGATGCCACCATAAGGCCATACGTAATCAGAAGGAAACTAATCCAACAGCCAAGAGAAAGGGAATGAGTAATGATCTTCAAACACTAGTTGTTCAGCTTAAGCATCTGTACCTGGATTTTTAAAAGAGGGAAATGGAAATACAGAAAAGTGTATGTCAATGGAAACAGTTTCTATAATGCCAAGAGGAATAAACAGGATTGAGTGTGCCTTATGTGGTCATTTGATGCAGCCCTCTGTTTACAGTAATATTCATAACACATAAATACAGAATCAAACACTAAGCCAAATAAGCAACTCCATGAAAGAAAACAGATGGATGGAGATGAATAGATAGACTTATATTAGTGTGATACTTTCCATCCATTCACAGTGTTCATCTAAGTACTGACTCTTACAGTCAGAGAACAAGACCACAGCTGGGCATCCCCAAACTCACAACCCATGGAAATATCTTAATAATACATTCAAATGAATCTATCAAACTTTTCAAATTTGCAACTTTGTGCAGCACCAAATGAATTAAGTTTTAAATTAAAATCAATGAAGAAAGAAGAGTCCATTTAATTTTCTTTTGATATGGATTTGTAATCAGGATGTGAACAATGTGGTGACCGGTCATAAGTTAATATAAATTGAAAACCACTGAAGGAAGGTAATTTGCAGTATATTAAGAACTTCATATTGGTTCAGAATCTATATTTACAACAGGTTATCAGAATAATACTTTACATCACCTTGGAAAACATATCATAAACGGCACAAATTATGCACAGAGCATGCATGTGAAAATGAATTTTAACTCAAGATACTAGCAGATGTACATGGTTCATACTCACCCTCACTCCATAGTCTACCAAAAGTATTTTATTCAACATATAAGCAAGCACATAAACTCAGAGTACTATTAGATGCTGAAAAAGCTATTTTAAAGACTCAGAACAATACTAGCTAAAGAAATGTGTCATTCATAAAAAAGATTTTAAAAAAAAAATCCACTGCCAATTCATACTGATCCTATACAACAGAGCAGAACTGCTCATAGGATTTCCAAGGCAGTAATCTTTCTTCCATGGAGGAGCTTGTGGGTTCAAACCACTCATCTTTTGGTTAGCAGCTGAGCTCTTAACCACCATGCCACCAGGGTGCATTTCTTTCATAATGAATGAGAAAAAATCAGTTTTGGTGTCATCTATGTGAAATGCAATCAGCTCTCACAGAAAAGTAACATTTAACTAAAAATTCCACTTAAAACTTCTCAAAAGTCACCAACATGATGCATTCAAAATTTTTACAAATGAATTTATCATATGGGAATCACTTTTGTATATTAGAATATTTATTTTATCTATGTTCTTTTTTTAATTTTTAAGTAAGTTATTTAGGAGAATTTTTTTCTAGAAGTTACCATATTTCATTGCTACCACTATATTTGGGAGCTCTCGTGGCATAGTACCTAAGGCATTTCACTGCTAACCAGAAGACTGGTGATTCAAACCCACCAGCCAGTCCTCAGAAGGAACACTGGGCTATCTACTTCCATAGAGATTCCACCTCGCAAACCCAGGGAGGGGTCACTATGAGTCAGATCCGACTCCACAGCAGTGAGTTACTACTATATTGAACAATCATTCATATAGCTTTCCAGATGGTCAGGTTATACAATACCAATGAGAGAGCCCATCTTCCACAAACCTGAGCATCAAGAAGATGGGGCGAAGAAAAATTCTACATTGAAGTAGAATCCAATGGTGGCAACAGCAACTAGCATTCTACTGCCATATCTCGTGTGTGCCCTACAGTCACCAGGTGGGCCACATGTTGAAGAATATCCAGGGTAAGTGTGGCATATCTCTCTGCAGCATCTATTTGTTGCACTAAATTGTCTGGCTCATTTTTACAAAAAAGGAACACAATATCCAGGGTGCAAGATACAACACCTGCATGAGCAGGCTGGGATAGAGACTTCACTCTCCTTTCCTGCAGTGAAATTTTGGTGGAAGCATTTAAGAAGCAGTCAGTTATGGGTGAAAGCTATGAGACTTTATATAAATGACAGCCAATCCTACAGGTATTTAATAAACAAGCTTACTTGAGCACTAGCTTCCCTCTCTCCTTTAATGCTCACAACAAACAAACACTCTTTCACTGTTAATAAATAGCACAGGTACATTTTACACCTAAGTCCTAAGTGTCCAAAGCCTGTGTTCTCCCAGCTTCACCTGGTCCACATGGACAGCATAACAAATGAGAATAACAGGTGTTAAGAACTTGGGAACTTAGCCTCACAGAGACATAAGTTCCAATCACAACTCCAGTGCTCACTTAGCTTTGACTAACTAGTCTCATGACCTCTCGATGCCTCACAGTTTTCTCATCTGTAAACTGGGGATATTATTAATATCTCTCTTACTGAATTCCTATGGGAATCAAATGAGATAATGTCTATGAAATGTAGCAGGATACCTGGCACAAAGTAACAGTCAGTAAACATTAGCATTTATTGCCACGATTACTCATTTTCACCATATTGCCTTTAGTCACCATATTGGCTAAATGAATCTTCCACTTCCACCGGGGTTGCAGCCTAGCTGAAATGGTGGGTCACAGTTTTGGGAGACCTAGAGAACAAACTGAGGAATTGCCGTAGATGTTCAGTAGTGACCAACCGGTAAAAGCCAGTTCATTCTCTTGGGTCTTACGACAGTTCTGGTCACAAACTTCATTTGACCCCCAAAAAAAGAGTTCTAACAGTTAAGCATGACTTAGTTTATAACCATACTGATTCATTCTTTACTTTGTATTATGCTGTAAATTCTTCCATTCTTTCCTTCAGTCTCTTTTAAAACAGTATATTAAATTTCAGTCTGGAATCTAATTGACTCACAAAAGAGCTTCAAAGTAAAAATCCTATAAAACTAAAAGACCAGACAGCAAGGATGATCAGTTATTTCACAACCCAAGCTATGGACAGTGATAGAAATAACACATCAAGGTTTTTATGACAGGTAGAGCAATGAGCTTCCAATGAAAAGGTACCTGGCTAGTAAGGTGGGAAAAGTTAAAGAGCAATTTGGAAAAAAGAAACTATGTCTCTAAAATATTATTCTACTCAAACGTTAAATGTTGTTGTGGGCTATCAAGTCAATTCTGACTCATAGCAACCATACAGGATTAGAGTAGAACTGCCCCCTAGGGTTTCCTAGGCTGTAATATTTATGGGAGCAGGTCTCCAGGGCTTTCTCCTGAAGAGCCACTAAGTGGGTCTGAATCACCAATCTTCTGTTTAGCAGCCATTTGTACCACCAAGGTTCCTTCAATTGTTAACTGTTAATACAAAAATCTATTTTAAATAAACATTACAATATTGTACAGAATCCATGGAGCAAGACAGTTTAAACATCTATTTCAAGAAAAATAATTCTAGTGGTTACAGCACCCAAGAGGAAGGAAAAGAGCAGTAACACAAAATTATATCAGGCCACTCAGTAATTTGATGTTGAGGGTATATAGCTAGCTCCTTTAAGCCATCTACATAGCACACTGCTAGCTGCCAATTCCTTACCACACTAACATCAACTAGCTATTACTTTTCTTTTTGAAGGTTACTAAACAGAGGCAGGAAAGCAAAGATGGCCCTTGTAACTGGGC